GGTTAGGTGACTGTTAATTTTTGAAAAAAGGTAATTATAAAAAATGCACACAAAGCCCAAATGGAGTCATTCCTATTTTATTCAAAGGGGATAGGCGACCTTTGGAAATTATCAGAGAGGGGACTGACGGGATCAGATTCGTACTTTAGGAACATTAGTTTGACAGTCCTGTGGCAGAAGGCCTAGCAAAGGAAGGGGCATGAGGCGGGGTGAGCCGTTGGGAAGCCGTCAACAGTATTCCAGGCGGAAGGAGAGGATGGTCTGGACCGGGGGATGTTAACTGGGAGGATGGCGACATCCTCAGCAGAAGCAGGGACGGTCAGAAGAGAGGTAGGTTTGGAGGGGACGGTGGCGGTTTGTGCATCGGACAGGACGCGTTGGGGCTGCCATTGAGACGTTCAGTTTGAAATGTCCAGCAGACGCTTAAGATGCAAACCTTGAGGTCAGGGGAAGGTGGTGCTGCCTGTATGGGTCTGTGAGGCATCGGGAAGCTTGTGAGGGCACCGAATGGGAGAGCCAAGAAGAGGGCCCGGACAGAGCCCAGGGAGCAGCCACCATTGGGGCCGGATGGGGACGAAGAGCCAGGGGAAGGAGAGCCAAGAAGAGGGCCTGGAAAACCCCTCAAAGGAGAGGCTCGCCAGTGAGGACAGCACAGCCTCTGCGGGGGGCCGGGCCTCGCTAAGCTCAGATAATCCTGTCTTTTCTGATACAGAGGCCCTGGGGGGAGGTGCAGTTATTATCCCTATTTTATAGACGTGGTGAAGTGACTTGGCGGGGGTCACACAGCTCGTGGCAGCGTCTGAGGCCACATCTGAACTCGGCCCTTCTTGACTCCAGGCCCAGCATGCTGTCTGCTGCACCACCTGGCTGCCTAGAAGAAATCAGTCTGAGTAGTGATGGGGTCAAGACACAGCCAAGATTGAAAGAAGGGAATGTGAGTGTGGACAGCCTTTTAGAGGAGCCTGGCTACTAAGGCAGGAGAGCTGATGGGCAGAGCCGGTCTAGTGAGGTTTTTTAAAGGCATGTTTGGACGTGTCATGACAGGATTGGAAGGACCCTCGTTGAAAGGGAGGGAGGAGGGATGATGGTGAAGGTGCAGGGGGCTGGATCACCTCGGCAGAGACAGGCGAGAGCGGGGAGTGAGGGGCGGAGAAGGGGAAGGGTGAGCTCCCCGCCGTGGCCTCTGGCTTCTCAGTGAGCTCTGGGATGGGGTCTTCCCGGAGAGGGTGGGGAGCAGAGGACGTGAGCAGCTCTCCAAGGTGCAGGGAGGTTGCCGTTGAGATTACATGAAATGAATTTGGGATGGACCCTGTTGGCCTCATTGTAGGATTTCCAGCTCTGTTGCTTTTGCAACTGCTGGCCTACTTCCCAAAGCTCCCAGCCTGGAGTCAGGAAGTCTTGAGTTCAAATCTGCCCTCAGGCATTTCTAGCTGCCTGACCCTGTGCAAATCACTCCTCACTGCCTGTCAAGGTGCAGTGGAGGAGCATGTCATGGGACGTTTGAGGGGAGCAGGACCAGCAGGGAAAGCAAGGCTGTGAGCCCGGTCCTGGCCTCCTTGAGAAGGGAGGGGAAGTGAGCCTCAGAGGAGCATTTCTGTTTCTGTCAGGAGCAGTGTGCTGTGACAGGTCCCTTATCACTCCCGTGGGCGGAGTCCGTGGACCACGCTGGTGGCCAGGCGTGGCAGTGCAGTCCGTGAGTCTGCCAAGGAAGCCTGTTCTGCCCAGGTGTGAGGTCCAGCCTCTTTGGCCCCTTCTTCCTTTTCAGTCCTCTCCTGGGGGAAGGGATTGGGCATTTATTAAGCACCTACTATGTGCCGGGCATTGGAACCTCGCAGTAATCCTGGAAATGTAGGTGCTTTTTTATCCCCATTTTACAGATAAGGAAACTGAGTCAAACAGGTAAAGTGCCCTCCTCTGCCAAATGGCAAAGGTGAACCGGCAGCTCGGTCCCACCTCACTCGTCTTCTGGGCTTTAAGGGGAAATCAAGTCATTGGGAGGCAGGGTCAGCTTTTAGTGTTGACACCTACCTTGGCGTTTGGAAGAAGGGATACACCTTTCTTTTTTTTAATCACCGAATTGCTCTAATCTTGGCTCTCTCAGGACTCACGGGTGGTTTGGTCGTCATTTCTGGCAAGAGGATGAAAACAAAGTTAAGCATGTCATGGACGCGAGCTCACGCGTCTCCTTTCGATATGGCGGTAGTTCTCGGGAGGGCCAGACAGAGCTCTTCAGGCTTGACTTTCTCAGGTTTTGTCCGTGGTGTCCAGGGGCTCAGTGATATTTTAACAGAGTCTTTTGTGTGATTTGTGTCCCATTATGTCAGTGCCATTAGATCGTCTTACTGGAAGAAAGCTAAAGCTTATTCATCAGAACGCTGGGTTTTTTCAAGGCCTTGAAGCAGTGACTCAAGATGTGGCAGCATGGATGCGCTCCCTTTTCAGCACGCTGCCCGGTAAGCTCGTGGCAGGGATGGTCTGCGTCGGCATGCTGGGTTTGTCTCCAGAAAAGACAGTGAGCCCAATTTAATAAATTCTTATTTTCAGTCTAAGTCAGTGAAATGAAACCAGTCTTTCTGATTGGATTAAGCAAGCCTGTGGTTTACTTTCAGAGAATTTACACTCACATTTTCACAGTAGTTTATCACATTGGGTTGTGTTAAAAAATAAATAAACAACCAACCAACCTAAGGCTACAGGGACTTGAAGGCAAGAAGTGGACACCGTAAAGATGGTCAGGCCGCCATCCTTCTGCCTGTCCACTGCTCACCTCAGAGACTGAGTGCCACGCCCCAAGGGCTCCATTCACCTGGTTAAGCACAATAACTTGGATGTTCTACCAGTATTAAGGAAGCACCTGCTAAGTGCCTAGCAGAGGGACGAGTAGAGGAGGACCTGTGAACAGAGACATCATCGAGGTGGAAATGGCGAACGTGGACAGCAAGGCGGACACAGAGGCCGAGGATGATGCCGGGCTTAGAGCCGCACCTGCTCAGCTCCCCTGGATCCCATTACCAGCTCTTTGTTGACGATTCTCAGATGGCTTGGCCAGCCCCAACCGTTAGTGCCTCTGTCTTCCCACCGCCACCACCATCTCCCTCCCTCAGGCTCCCAAGCTAGGACTTGTCGAGGCCTCCTCACTACGCCCTCTCTCCCCATATCCAGTATGGCACCAAGGCGTGTGGTTCCACCCGCAACACCTCTTGTCCACGTCCCCTCTGCAGCGTCTCTCCTCTGACGCTGCCCCTTCCGTGGGGCAGGCCCCCATCACCCCATGCCTGGACTGTCGCAATGGCCTGCTCATGGGTCGGCCTGCTCCAGGCTCTCCCCGCTCAGTCTATTCTGCACTCAGCCACCAATGTGCAGGTCTGAGCATGTCACCCCCCCCCCCCATAGTAGCTCCCTATTGCCCCAGGATCGAACACAAAGTACAGATTGGCATTCAGAACACACACCCAGACATCCCCCATACCCCGCACTCTGATCCAGTGACCCCGACCTCCTGGCTGCTCCTCCCCCAAGACCCTCCCTCTTCATCAATCAGCTCAGCATTTTCCCTGGCATGTCCCCTCCTCATCTCCACTCCCTCCAGGTCCCAGGTGAGATCCCACCTTCCACGGGAAGCCTCTCCTGATCCCTCCTCATCCCTCTGTTGATTTTTTCCTGTTGAGTGTTTGTAGCTTGTCTCCCCTATTAGACTGTGAGCTTCTCTAGGTCCAGGATGGCCTTTTGCCCTTCTTTGTATCCCCAGCGCTTAGCCTGACACATAGTAGGTGCTTTATAAATATTGATTGACTCACTGGGACTGTGGTGGTGCCCTGAAGAGTTTGTCAGGAAAGAGGATTTAGTGTGTTGAGTTGGAGATGCCTGTAGGAAGGCAGTTGGTGATGCAAGACTGGATTTCAGGAAAGAGACTCGTGTTGAGTATATCGTTCTCAGCGGCTGGGGAAATGATATAGTGCAGACAGGTTCTTAGCTTTTTTGTGTCATGGGATCCTTGGGTAGTTAACCTGGTAGGACCTTCTCAGAGTCATGTTTTAAAAACTGAGAGAAAGTTTACATTTTCGTTAGAAAATAGTGAAAATAAAGATGTAATTTTTCCCATCTAAATTCATGGACTCCCTGAAATCTGTCCTGGACCCCAGGTTAAGAAGAGAGAAGATGGAGGGCTCAGGATAGGGCCTTGGGAGACACTGGAAAGGAAAATACAAAATTAAACTCTGTGTGAGATAATAAACCAGTGCATTTTAAAAGGAACCTGGCTAGTTATTTTGCCGCTTCTGAGGGGCGCAGGGACTGACCGTCAATGGCAGCAGTGGAAAGGGTCACCGGCCGGCTCCACGTTCTGTGAACACACGGGACTCTTCTGGATTGTGTTCCAGGGGCTTCAGAATTAGGTTGTGAGGTCCCAAGGGTCAGGGTGCGGGGACCCTGTGAGCTTGATGACAGTTGGGTTCTCCTTATGCTGACTCTCAGAGTCACCGGGAGTTGGTCAGCACAGCATCAAACAGGCTGGGAGAGAATGGAGTGTGTGTGCGTGAGCTGGGTCGCCACGGTCACAACTGGCCAAATCACAGGTGGGGAGAACGTCATCACGTCGGCTCTAGATACTGTTTCCATTCTAGAGCCTAGCTCTGCAGGCCCCCCGAGGCCTGTGGCATAGAGCTGCTGCCCCTCAGGACGGCTCTGCCCCTGCACGGTGCTGGGCCCAGTCGAGGCAGCCACGAGTCAAAGAAGCCTCCATTGTGTTTGGCTCTGAGCTCCCTGAAGGCAGGCGCAGGCAGCTTCATCCCTAGCTTCCTATCCCCAGCATCCGCACATAGTAGACACATAATAAGGGTTGCTGGTTCTACGCCTGTGTCCTCAGGTGGCGCTCAGGCCAGGCCCGGTGGCTTCTGGGCTGCCTGCTTAGGGCTCCAAAAGACAGCAAAGGAGGGACTGTAGTGTACAGATGACCACCTAACTCTTTGTTTTTAAATTTTATTTTTTGTTTTGTTTTAAAGGAATCTGAAAACTTTGCTTATGGAAAAGAATCCCATAAAAACATTGCCAGTGGAGCTGGGTAAGTGCTCTCTTTTTAAAATAGAAATTAACTTTGAGTGGCTTCTGACGTGATTTAAAAAGTGCTGTCTGAGGGGCAGCTAGGAGGTGCAGTGAAAAGAGCTCTGGCCTTGGAGTCAGAAGGACCTGAGTTCGTATCCAGTCTCAGACACTTAACACTTACTAGCTGTGTGACCTTGGGCAAGTCACTTAACCCTGATTGCCTCACCTAAAAAAAGCACAAAAAAAAAAAAAAAAAGTGCTGTCTGGGAGAACACCTGTACTCCCTCCCCATCGTCCAAGGTCCTTAGTGGTAAAAGGACAGCCCTCTGATTTTACAGATGAGCAAGTGGAGATGCAGAAAGGACCCCGGCAGCGTTTTGTCACAGAGCACCCTCACTGATAAGCCATCTGCCTCAGCCCACTCTGGAGAGCTTGATGGGATGAGGCTCTTCCTGATAGGAGCCTCAACAGGCCTCTTTGTAGACCCCTCCCCATGGCTCTGGCTCTGTCCCCGAGGCCAAACCGAGCCAGCCCAGGGGTGTCAGACGTGCAGCCCAGGCAGCTCTGAACCAGATTATCATTGAAAAATGTTGAACAAGAGAAATAAAGTGACAGTGCAAGCTGCTGTTAATTTGGGGTTTCTAAGTCACTGTCCTGTCTGTCCTGGGGGACAGCTTCTCAGATAGGCCCTCCCCAGGTCTCCTGTTTAGTCTTCACCCTGGAGTTATGAGCTGCAGGGCCTCCAGCACCCTGGGTTTCCAGCCTCGGGACACTCTGTAGCTCCCAGGTGCCCTCCGTACCCAGTGGTGCCCAGGCCTGGTTGTACCTCCCATCATTGTGGGAGCAGAGTGCTCTGGGAAGCTTGCCCCCACCTCCAGGTCCAGGACCACCTCCTTCTTAGGTCCAGGGCCACCCCTCCCTGAGGTCCAAGGCTGCCCCCCCAGGGTCCAGGGTCACCACCCCTCGAGGTCCAGGGCTGCCCCCTCAGATTTAGGGCCACCCCATCCTGAGGTCCAGGGTCCCCCCAGGTTCAGGGCCACTCCCTGAGGTCCAGATCCCCCCCCTGGGGCCCGGCCCCCCCCCCCCCCCCCAGGCCGGCCCCCCCCAGGGTCCGGGGCGCCCCCCCCCCAGGTCCAAGGCCTCCCCAGGGTGACGTCACCAACAGCACAAACAGCCCCTCTTGCCTTGGCAGAGTCAGCTCATGGGCACAAGGGAGACTCGACGTTTGCCTCATGAATGGGGTGAGCCGCTCGGATCTCTCGGACACACCGCCTTCCTCCAGGGTGCTGCAGAACACTTGGCCGGGGAAGGGTCTGTGACAGGAAGCAGCTCGACACCGCTGAGCTCAGCTCTGTAGTTGTCCTCTCAGCTGAACCCCGCGATCAGTGCTGTCGTGACCCCCATTTTGCAGATGAGCAGACCGAGGCAGGTACAAGTCAGAGACCAGACTTGAACTCAGATCCTTCGCATCCCAGGTCCAACCCAAGTCACCTCGGTGTCGCTCAGCGTCCTTGCCTTCTCGTAGTGTGTGTCTGTGGGACCTGGCTTGGGGGCGAGGCGTGGAGGGTCCTCCTGCCTACATCCATTCGTCTTCACCCCTGGAGTTAGACATCTCCAGTGCCGGACAGATACCTCCTTCTCTGTCTGTGCTGATGCGTCGCGTCCTTTGTCTTCAACCTGCCAGGCCCGTCTTTGAGGCCGGGGTGTCTGAGAGGGTCGCCTCGGGGTCTTCTGCAGCCCCAGCCTTGAGGGGCTGAGGGAAGCCCCTCGGGGCTGCTATGCTCCTGTGTGTCTGTGGTCTGGTCTTCCAGGTGTCCCGCACCCCCCGCCACAGGTGCCGGGGCCGGACGGGCGGCTGGGCCACCCCTCCGTCGGGATGCTCGCCCACAAGCCGGCGGTCATCAGGACACGGCTGATAGAAGAGAACTCCGTCAGGCAGACGCAGCCTTGCTGGTTGGGGGAGAGGAAGGCTGGAGCCCAGCAGTGCTAGTGACCCACGTCCCTGAGAAGGAAGGCGATGAAGCCCGAGTGACTGCCGGTCTTGGTTCTGCCAGTCACCTCGGCCCTGACGGTGCTGGGGACCAGGCCAGCTCAGAAGCCTCCGATGTGTGCCCGGCCTGGACAGTGCAGGGCGGCCCTGGCGGGTCTCAGCTCCCTCACCAGTGAGGTGCTTCGTGGGTCTGGAGCGCTTTACGAATGTTGGTACTTGCTGCTACGGTCCTTCCTTCTAGAGGCTGGACCTGGCGGGGGGCAGTGAGGGGGGCAGAGAGGACACAGACACCAGCAGCCTTGGCCCTTGGGGGGCCCAGGAGGCAGCCCTGGAAAGGACCCGTGAGTGATGGGGGAGGAGGGTGTGAGCAGACAGGCCAAGAGGGGAGTCTGGGGTGCTGGCTCAGTGGCCAGGGAGGCCATCTCCACCCCGTCCGGGAGAGAACGGATCCCAGATTCTAGACCTGCTCTCTGTGGGGGAGGGCCACACAGCCCTAGAACCTCACACAGCCTCCTGGGAGAGATCTGGAGCCACTCTGACGGCTCGGACCTGACCGTCCACACAGGAAAGTCCCAGCGGATGAAGACGTCTGTTACCCAGATCGTGAAATGCATTTGGAGGCGGAGCCAAGATAGCAGAGGAAAGGCAGGGATTTGCCTGAGCACTCCCCAAAACCCCTCCAAACACCTTTAAATAATGCCCTACAGCAATTCTGGAGCGGCTGAACCCACAAAAGGTTGGGGTAAAATAATCTTCCATCAAATCAACCAGTCAAACAACTGGTCAGAAGGAGATTCCGAGAGTCTCTGCCAGCACTGAGGCAGGACTGTTGCTCTGCCCATACTTGTATCTGGGCTGGGGTCCTGGCTGAGGAGGAGCACCCCGGAGCTTGTGGCCCCAGGGGAGCGGGAACCCTGCTCATGGGTCCAGTGCTTGTGGTCACTCCCAGACCAGAGCACAGGCCAGGAGAGGAGTACACACCTCTCCTTCGAGCGTACCCCCTTGGAAGAACTGAAAACTAAAAACAGGTCCCTAGAGGTATCTCTGAAAACAGCAGCACAAAACCCCTGACGCTTGGGACAGTGCTCCCTCCACCCTGGAAGCGGAGCCCCACTTAACAAAGAGTTAAAAATCAAGAAATAGGCTGAAAAGTGAGCAAACCACAGAAAAAAAATCTGACCATAGAAAGTTACTGTGGTGACAAGGAAGATCAAAACGTGCACTCAGAAGAAGACAATAAAGTCAAAGCTCCGACCTCCAAACCTCCAAGGAAAAGTACGACTTGGGCTCAGGCCGCAGAAGAGCTCAGAAAGGATTTTGAAAATCAAGTAAGAGAGATAGAGGAAAACTTGGGAAGAGAAATGGGAACGAGGCAAGAAAATCACGAGAAGAGTCAACAGCTCAGTAAAGGAGACCGAAAAACACACTGAAGGGAGTAACACCTTACAAAGCAGAACTGGCCGGATGGAGAAAAGGCCTGAAACTTCCACCCTGGGAGACCACGTGTCGGGGAAATCCTGCGTGCACAGCGTTGGTGGTGCGGCACGCAGCCCGCGTCTGCCCCTTGTCCAGGAGTGCTCATCGCTTTCCTTTTTGTCTTCCAGGGAACTTGGCATCGCTGAAAGCCCTGAATCTGCGGAGCTGCCCTCTGGAATTCCCCCCCAGAGACGTCATCCGGAAAGGCCTGCTGAGCATCCTGGCCTTTCTTCGCAACTGGGCCCAGAGGCAGGGCGCTGTCGCCGCTGCACCGTGTCAAGGTTGGTTGTGACCCTGCAGGCCTCAGCTTAGGCCTTCCCCTCCCCACCCCAGGCTCACCAGGCCTGCCGCTGGGGGTGTCCTTCTGGGAAGAATTCTCTGTCGACGTGTACGCTGTCCATCTGGGCAGCCGAGGTGACAAAGGGGCAAAGCGACCCTTGTGGGCAGGGCTGCCCGGGGCAGGGGGGTGGGTCTCTGACCTGTCTGACCATCTGGAACGCTTCCCCACCCTGACCTAGCACCACGGACTGCGGGGCTGTGCCTCAGAAAGGGACCCAGGGCAGAGCAGAGAAGTGGGCACCAAGGAGGCGCCCGTCACCCAGGGAGAGCGAACTGTGAGAAGGGACAGCTTCTCAGAGCCAGCGGAACAGCATCTGCCACCAAGAACGGGCATCGTGAAAGGCCCGAGGTGCCTCAGGGGGCATGGGAGGGAGCTCCCCGTCCCCTTCCTCACAGCGTCACCGAATTCGCGGGGGCAGGAGCAGGTGTCCCCTTCTGGGCATGGCTCAGGGGGGCATGTGTTTGCCGCCAGAGCTTTGTTCTTTCCTTTTTCTTCCTGTTAAATTGCGGCGTGGGACATAGCAAAGGGGAATTGGCGGTGTTCAGTCCTTTTTCCTTCATGGCCTCATCTGGGCAGAGACACTGGAGGGTTGGCCATTTCCTCCTCCATCTCATTTTACAGATGAGGAAACTGAGGCAAGCAGGCTGAAGTTACTGGCCCTGGGTCACACGTCTGGGAAGTGTCTGAGGCCGGATTGGAACTCAGGAAGGGGAGTCTTCCTGACTCCAGAGCTGGCGCTCCATCCCTTGTGCCACCTAGATGCCCCAGAGAGGTAGCAGAGTGGCACCCCCCCCCCAAAAAAAAAAACAAGAAAGAGGATCCTGGAAGCATGTGAAAAACTGCGCGGCAGAGGACGAGAGGGAAACACAGAAAAGCAGGACAGTTTTGTGTGTTTAAATGCCAATACCCTTAAAAACAAAGCCGACCATACGTGGTGGGCTCCCACAGCGTTGGGCACGACAGGCCTCTTTCTCTCTTGTGCCTCAGAGAGGGAAGTGCTCGTTGGGTGTGGTTTTGGTGAACTCGTAAGCAAGACAAAACGTTCTCCTCCTTGGGCCTCGTAAGCACAGGTGGCTGGTCCAGCAGCGTTGTTGGGAGCCATCGCTAGAGAGATGTAAGAGCGTTTGTGCGCTGTCTCGGGGTTCTCGGTGTGCGGCACGGGGCTCGTGAGGGACAAAGGAGAATCCCCAGAAGTAGTTCCGTGACCCAGGGAGAATAAAGCGCTTGCTCGGCTCTTTTTAGAACAACTGAGGGTTAGTCCCTTGGGTCAGTCCATCACCAAACATGTATTAAGCGCCTGCTGTGTGCCAGGCACCCCACTGAAGACACAAAGAAGCAAAGAACGGCCCACACTGTCAAGGACAACAGGTAAACAGCTGTGTACGGAGCTGGTTCCCTGCCAGATAAGTAGGAGGTAATGAACAGAAGAAGGGCCCTGGAGGAGAGGGGCTGGGGAAGGCTGCCTGTAGGAGGTAGGATTTTACCTGGGATTTAAAGGAAGCCAGGGAGGTCAGTAGTTGGTGCAGAGGAGGGAGAGCCCTCCAGACTTGGGGGACAGTCGGAGAGAATGCCCGGAGCTGAGGTGGAGGGCCTTGTGCCGAGGGCCGCTAGATCCAAGAGGACGTGGGGGTGGGAAACGTAAGAAGACGGGGAAGGGGGAGGGTGCCTGAGTTACTAAAGGTTCTGAAGGCCAGACAGAGAGTTTTGGGACATGGTCAGACTTGCTTTGAATCACTTTGGTGGCTGGAGTGGAGAGAGAGCGGACGCAGGCAGACATCCTAGCCGGCATGTTGGACAGTGGTCTGTGGGTGAGGTCATGAGGCAGTGTCCAAGGAGAGAAGGGGTGTATTTGAAAGACGTTACAGAGGGGCAGTGGAAGGGTCTTGGCACCATCTTGGATAACAGGTGGTGAGAGAGAGTGATGATCCCGGAGTGACTCTTAGGTTGGGATCCTGGGGAACGGGGAGGAGGGTGGCACCCTGGACAGTTATGGAGAAAGGGTTTGGGGGAAAGATCAGAGCTCTGTTCTGGACATGTTGAGGGTAAGATTCTATGGGACTTCCAGTCGCAGATGGCTGTTGGAGATGCAAGATTGGCGGTCAGCAGAGAGATTGGGGCAGGAGGGGTAGATCTGAGAATTATCAGTCTAGAGATGGCAATTCAATCCGTGGGAGCTGAGGAGATCCCCAGGTGAAGTTGTATAGAGGGAGAAGAGCAGAGGGCCCAGGACCTGTCCCTAACCCTAAATGTGCACCTGAAGGACTCCCGTGGTTAGAAGGTGTGGTCTTGAGGAGGATTCAACATAGGAGACAGAGAAGGAACGTTCAGAGGAGAACTGGGAGACAGGAGTGTCCTGAAAACCTAGAGGAGAGAGGATCCAGGAGGAGAGAGTGACCGACAGTGTCCAAGGCTGCAGAGAGGTCAAGGAGAATCAGGATGGAGTAAAGGCCATTGGATTGGGCCAGATGAGATCCTGGGTTACTTTGGAGAGAGCGGTTTGGGTAGAACGAAAAGGCCAGAAGCCGGATTGTGAGATCATACCCTTCCTATCCCAGTGATTCTGAACCCCTGTGGGTCACCATCCAAACCCCCCTTGACACCCCCTGCCACCTGGTTCCTCATTCCCACCCCAAAATTTCTGCCCAGCCCTCCCGTCGGTCAGCTCCCTCAGTGACACGACGTCCCCGGCCCCCTCTCCAGACTTGGCTGCGTCGGCTCACCGGTGGAGGGGGCGTGTCGGAAGCCTCCTTGTGCCCCCATTACCGCTTTGAGATTCCGCCGTTTCCTCCCTCTCCTCCCCGGAGATTCGTCTGTTCACATCTAGCCCCCGATCATCCTCTGTATGCTGGCCCTGGTCTAGAGAGGCGTCACCCCCCCTTCCTTCCTCCATGACTCCCATCTCAGCTCATGGCTTTTCTCTCCTCCCCAACTCCTGCCTCATGGTAGGGGCTGTCAGCATATATGCTGGCTCTCCCTCAACCACTCTAACCGCTCAGGTCCCCACCACGCTGACCTCCCGTGATCTACTCCCCCCCCCCCCCAGCCACACAAAGGTGGTCACAACCTCAAAAAAAACACTTAACCATTTACAAACGAAAACAGGCATCACCCCAACACTAGTCTGAACCATACCGGTTTGTATGTAAAGACCACACGTTTGGTACGTCACGACAAAACCTCCCATTGTAGCACAGAAGTCTTGAGCAGACAAGCGTTGGCGAAGCACGCTGCCTTTTCTAGAGTTGTTAATGGACAGGGCTGTAGATGTTCACCCTTTCCACCTCCCTTGGCCTGCCCCTACTTTGCGACCTCCGATCCCCTGACCCCTCGGCCCTCGGCCAGGCCCTCTCCCCTGTGCCGGCCACTCTCTCCTCTTCTCCCCTCTTGACCCCTTGGTGACACTGCCCTCCTCTCTGGGATCCCTCACCCCCTTACCATACCCCTGATTACACCCGGCTGAGCCTCGGCCCGGACGGCCCCCGCTTTGTGCCTTCTTGCGCGCTGCCGCGCGGTCCTGCTCAGCCTCCCTTCCCGCGTGCTCTGCTGCTCCATACAGTGGCTCTCCCCTGGCTGCGCATCGGCGCCAAGGCAGGAATAGGTGGACGTCCCACCGGCAGATGCTTGGTTTTCCCGGCAGCAAGCCACCATCTGTTTTCTCACCAGGATAGACCGCTGCCCTGCCTCCCCCTCGCCCACCGCCACCACCCCAGGCCTGGACGCGGCAGCCTCAGTAGCCTTAGATTTGGGCCCGCTTTGGCGCACTGTTGACTCACATGAAGCTTGCTGCCTTCCATAGCCCCGTCTCTCCGCGCTCTATTTGTGAAAGTGAATTTTTGAGGCTTAGGTGGAGACTGTCCCTTTCCCTTTGTTCAGTAGGGGTCAGCATTGTAGCCCATCATCTTGGACTGTCTGGTGTACTTGCGTTCTGGGAGTTTACACCCACAGACCAGCACCAAGGAGACAGTCAGGCCTTGAAGGGGACTGGCCTTTGGAGGCCCTGCTTCCTAGCTTTAAAGCTGCAGCGAAGGAGGTTTGGAGCCTTCTTGGTAAAACTGAAAGGGCAGCGGAAGAAGAAAGTGGGTCCCGGGAGCAGGCCCCACGTCGTGGACGGCTTCCTCGGTGCGCAGCGCCAGCCCTGACGTTGGGGTATGCCTCGAACTTCTCTCCTAATTCAGCTAGTCCCGCACTGAGCTGCACAGTCGGGGGGGGGCCGCCCAAAGCCACGTGTCTCTGATTCCTGCAGCCAGCGCTCCCCCTCCAGGGGAGACTGCTGGCTCTGATGGCCCCATCACAGTTGGCTTTCAGTGCATCGCCGGCGAAAGTTGAAAAATAGGCATTTTACAAATGGGGTTTTGGGCAAACAAACCCTGAGAGGAGCCCGAGTGGCCTGAAGATGCGGGCTTTTGTGTGACCCAGGAGTTACCAGCTGTTCATTTGCTCCCTAAGATTTGTTTTCTCCCTGACAAAGAAGAGTACTTGGTCCCTCTCCTAATTACAGGCTAACGTCATTCCCATCCCGTGGGGAGTGCCGAGGCCGGTCGTGAGCCCCGAGGTGGGGCGCCAGGCTCCGAGGGCTCCTTGTATGAGATGGCTGAGGGCGCGGCCGATTTTCCAGAGTGAGACTTTATGTGCCCCAACAGCGTCTCACTGCGGGCCCTTGGCGGTGGGATACACCCACTTCTCAAAGGATCCCTTGTGCTCAGGCTCCGCCAGCATCCAGTTTATCCTTTCAGGGCAAATTGCCCTTTCCAGAAGATTGCTCTGAAAATGTCCCTACTTGGATCCCACAGATAGACTCGGCCTGAGTGAAGTTTGGGAAAGAGCCCCGTGCTCTGGGAGGCACTCATAGCCGGCCGTGGCTGGGGCCGGGGCCAGAGAAGCTCTTCTCCACAGAGCCCCCCTGGGCTCGCCAAGGCTACGCCAGCTGCTTCCTCTGGAGTGGGCCCTGCCCCCGTGACTGGGCCTTCCACAGGCCTGGGCTGCCCCCTCCACCATGACCACAGAGGAGCACGAGGAATCTCGCGCCCTGACCTAACTCTGACAACGAGGTCTTCATTCACTGACTGATGAACTGAGCCCTTGGGGAAGGAGCTGGTGCGCATCCACAGAGATACTCTCACTGCAAGCAAAACTGGGAAACCACATGACGTTCCAGTGGGGGGGGAGGGATGGTGCTCATGGGCTTCTTGGGAAGACCCGCCATTCTGTGGGGTGCTTCACCCTTGGATTTGGCCAGAAAGGCCCCTCCAAGGGTCCTTGCTGCTTTGTGGGCAGCGCCTATCACAGAGGATGAAGAGGAACCCACTCAAGAATGTGACGAGGTCTGGGGGCAGCTAGGTGGCGCAGTGGATAGAGCGCCAGCCCTGGAGTCAGGAGGCCCTGAGTTCAAATCAGACACTTAACACTTACTAGCTGTGTGACCCTGGGCAAGTCACTTAACCCCATTGCCTAGCCAAAAAAAAAAAAGAAAAGAAAAAGGAACGTGATGAGGTCAAGCCAACCCTGACCCTAAGGAGCATGGAGAGAAAATGTGGTTCGGATTTAGGAGAAGAAAGACGCCCAAGGCTGGTGTCTAGCCTTCAGAAGCTTCACACCTACAGGAATGCTCTGAAAGGATGGCCAAGCAGCCCTGGGCGCGGCAGACACCCCCAGCATCTCCCTGAGGGGACTGAGACCTTTCACACGCTTCATCCGTGTGGCTGTCTTTGCTCTTTCATCGGCACCGCCTCGGACCGTCTCTCCCCTGTCACTGACGATAGTGGCTGGTAAGCGCCACCCAATGAGGCCGGCCCTCTGGGCCATGTTCTCCACTGGCCCCCGCTCCGCCAGCCCCCTTCTTCACAGGCAGTGTGGGTTTCCCTTTGCTTCCTGAGTCCTTCACCCCATGAGCCCTTGCCCCCAGGGCTGGCATCTTCGTTGCCCTCTTTGCCCCCACAGAAGGCTGCTCTTTGGACCGCACAGGGCATGGGAATGTTCTCTCTCTTCCTGTGCCCGGCGCAGGCCCTCTGGGTGAAAGATGGGGGGCGTTTGGGTCACCTTATCAGCAGCATCCCTCCTCGCTCTGCCCGTCGTGTGGGTGCACCTACTCTGCCAGTTTGGGGGGCACAGGGGTGTTGTGGTGTGCATTGCCTTTGGCATTAGTGATTCGGAACAGTGTTTCGTGTGGTTTTTAGGTTTCATTTCTTTTTTGAGTACTGATCCTGCCCTGTGACTCCTTCTCCATTTGTGACGTGTATACCGAGTGCCCCCAAAGTCTTACTATAGTAAAGCTGTGAGCTTTAACAGATGACGGCTTGAGTCAGACTTTGGGTCACCTGGGATAGCCTGCCATCCCAGGATCAGGTGTGTTCAGTGAAAAGAGCCTTCCCAGTAAACATCTTCCTTTCCTGTGGAAGCTGCATTGATTTTGTTCGTGCAACAGCTTTTCATTTCCGTGTCATCGAAATGATCTTTTCTCTTTTGGGACGGCCCTGTCTTTTGCTAGGCGGGGGACTCCCTCTCTCTCTCTCTTCCAGCTATGACAGGGACCCAGGCCCGGCATTCAGGCTTCTGTCCCTTTGGGGTTCTTGTCCAGTGGGGTGGGAGGCGTCGATCTCGGCCTAGTGTCAGCACAGTCACTTTTCAGTTCTCCGACCCGTTCCTGTCCAGTGACGAGTCTGCCCCAGGTCACCTGTGTTCTCCGGCTCGGCGAACGTCGGCTTGTTGGCTTGGCCGATTCTTCCTGACCCAGTCTGTTGCCCTGATCTGCTCCGCTGTTTTTGATCGCTGCCAAATCGTTCGCGGAGCGACACTTTGGAGTGACGTCGGAGTGCTAACGGTCTCTGCCCCGGCACTGCGGTCCTTTCCCGCTCTCCGCCATGAACGTCTGGTCCTTGAGTTTGTGCCCCTTTGGCGCAGCACTCGATGCACTCGCCGACATGGAGAGTAGCCTCGCAGCCAAACTACAAGGGTGGCTAACACTCCCATTGTTAGCCCTTTTTCTGTTGGGAGAGAGTTTGCAGTCCTGCTTTTATGACTTGTTATTGTTTTTTTCTCCCATCCTTTTTAAAAATCAATTATGTTATTTATCTTTAGCTTTAAACATGCGCTTCCCTGAGGTTTTTATTCTGGGGTGGCTCTTTTGAATGGGACTTCCCGTGGCTTAGGCTGTGGTTCTCCAGGCAGGGACGACAGCGGAGCTGGCAGACTGAGGGCCCCTTCCTTGCGGGGGCTGTCCCCCAGGCAGAGCTGGGATCCGCTGGCCGTGGAGGCAGGCTCCTTCTCAGGATTGTGGCGCGCTTGTTGGCCTGGCGGCCCTGTCGTCGGCAGGTTAACAAAAGTCTGGATCAGGATGACGCTGGGGGAAAGAAGGAAATGCTCCCTGTCATTGTGCTTAGCCCACGCCTGGTGCGTAGAACAGCACAAACGAGGAAACGAGCGTGTATGAAATGCCTACTGTGCACCAGTGCCAGTGTGGCACCGCTCTGAGCACTTTACAGATGTGGTCTCATTGATCCTCACCACAACCCTGGTAGATGCCATCATGATCCCCATTTCACAGCTGAGGAAACTGAGGCAGACAAGGTGAAGTGACTTGTGCAGGGTCAAGCAGCTCGTGAGTGTCTGAGGCCAGATTTGAACTCGGAAAGATGAGTCTTCCTGACTCCAGGTCTGGCGTTTTATCTACTGTACCACCCAGCTGCCTAGCACATAATAAAGGCTTGTTAATAAAAAAAATAAAAAAATCACCCAAACTATTCATGCTGTGAAATAGGGGGGAAAGCACATTCCTATTAACCTTGATGATGACCATTTTCCCCAGAAGCTGAGCCTGTGTGATAAAGAGGCAGCGAGATCTCAGCCCAAGGTCATGCACACTCTGGCCACGCAGGGACGGGGGTGAGAAACGTGGCTCGGCCCTGGGCCTCAGGCCCAGCTGGCCCGTGTGGTCAGCGATGTGAGCAGGAGACAGCAGCCTGCTTAACACCTGGGGGTCTTCCCAGACCTTTGCCATTGAAAGAGGCCAAGTGGAAAAGACCACAGGCCTCCCTATCTGGGTGACCCTGGCCAGGTCACTTCGTTGTTGTTTGCCTCAGTTTCCCCATCTGTAAGATGAGGGGGTTTTAGTGGATGGCTTCAAGACCAATGAATGATCATATGGTTCTTCTGGCCACACCTGGGGCGGGGCGGGGGGGTGGACGGTGGCGGTGGGAGGTGTGGATTCATAGGGAGATGGGATCCATGAGAAGTGGCCCGCGGTATCCCTGCTTAGTCTCTGCAGTCTGACCAGCTGGCCTCTGAGCCATCCCGCGCCAGGGCCACGGCCTGTCTCCCGCATCATCTTCATGCCCAAGTAGTGAGCCCCCGTCCCTGACCTCCGCACGCAGCACGATCACCCGCCTCTGTGTCTTTGCCCACAACGTCCTCCTCCCTTGCCTGCCCCCTCGGCCTCCCGCGTTTCCTCCGAGACTCAGCTCGGCGCCGCCTTTGCTCGGGGCTCTGCTTCCTACGTGCGATCACCTCTTGGAGGGCAAGGACTTGGATGTGGGTCCATGGGTGGCCAGAGCATGGCACTGAGAGGCATGGAGAAGCGCAGGTCGATAGACGCCGAATAAAGATTTGTGGATTGATGGAGACCCCGTGGTGGTTTGGTCATGTCCGATTCTTTGTGAGCCCAAGGACCACAGCCCCCCAGGCCCTTCTGTCCTCCCCATCACCCAGAGTCAGTGCACGCTCACATCCACCACTTCCATGACACTCTCTCCATCTCATCCTCTGCTGTCGCCTTTTCCTTTTCCCTTCAATCTCCCCAAATCAGGGTCTTTTCCAGTGAGTCCTGTCTCCTCCTTAGATGGCCAAAGTGTTTAATTAAGCTTCAGTATTTGACCTTCCAGTGAACGGCCTGAATTAATTTCTTTAATAGTGGCTGATTTGATCCTTGCTGTCCAAGGGACTCTGAAAAGTCTTCTCCAGCACAATTCCAAAGCACTGATTCGGTGGCACTCAGCTTTCCTTGTAGTCCACAGCCTTACATTGCTACTGGGAAAATCATAGCTCGGACGCCACAGACCTTTGTGGGTGAGGTGACGTCCAGATTGGCCATAGCTTCCTTCCAGGGAGCCAGTGTCTTTTAACTTCGTGACTGCATTCATTGTCTGCAGGGATCTGTGAGCCCAAGAACAGACCCTCTGACGCTGGTGGTGGGAGGGGAGGGATCTTTTTAAGGTTTCCTAATAGATTGTTTAGAGAGTCGACCAGATGTTCACTGCGTTGCTTTACCCTTAGGTGCCCCAGGAAACTCTAAGACTAGAAGGACTTTCCTCCCCAGGAGTTCCTTGTATCAGAGAAACCACATGTCCATACCTCCCCCACCCCTCAAAGACACCAGCCCTCCCATGATCCTTAGTCTCACACGAGCTTTACTGTGATGGAGGCAGCAGGAGGAATCATGGTGGTCTCTTCATTTTCCCGTGGTGGCCATGGGGCTCTCACTTCTTGGAGACCAGACTCACAAATGGGAAAAAATGATGGTCTTGGTTTGGGGGCTAGAGTGTTCGAAGGCGGGATGCTAAAGTAGTCCGGTTTTTCCCCCTAGAAGTTGTACCAGTGAAAAAGGTGAACCCGGAAGCCAAACGTGGTGCCTCCAACGAGGAGACGTTGCAGAATGATCCAGAAGAGAAGGGATGTCTTTTTCCACATGTGGAAGCGTTGAACTTAGCTGAGGTCACAGAGCCAAGTGTGGATTTTTCTGAGGATTGTTTCAATGAGGAAGAAATGAAGCAGTTCTGGAAGCTGAGGCAGGAAATAGTCTCTAGCGAAAAAGCCGAAATGCTCGCAAACCAGCTCCTGCCCCTTCAGCTGCCTCTCAGCCTGCAGAGCAGCCACGTGAAGGAGCATGTTCAGAAACTGAAAGACAGGGTCAGGTCAGTCTGAAAAATGAGTATCCTTTCATGAAATTCTAAAAGGTAGGTAATGATGATGACTTTTGCGTCTCAAACCCTCAGCCTAAAGTGGCATCACCACTTCAACCTCCATGGTCATGGAGTCGAACTGGTAGCCAGAGCTGGGCCAGGCCTTGTCCAGCGTTGAAGAGGGGCCGTCGCCGCCATCCCTGCTGTCTCTTAGCACCCTGTGCTAAGAGTGCTACCAGGATGGGAGGCACACCCCTTGGTGGTGCAGGCCCGGAACCACAGGTCCAGGGGACCAAGGGAATGTCCGTGTGATGGATAAAAGTGATGGAGTTGGGGAAGGAGCCAAGCTTTGCCCAAGTAGGGAGTGGGAAAGGTGGTGGATGTGGGCGTCTTTGGCCAGAAAGCCCAGCGCAGGTCAGTCATGCAGTCTATACGGTCAGACCGTTCATGATCTGGCCATCCCATTTCAGGAAGGAGGCAGACACGTGAAGTGGGTGTGCCCAGCGTGGGGAGGGGCTCGCAGGTTGGGCTAGAGAGGGGCACGATGCCTAGGGTCAGTGTCTGACCCCGGTGCCCCCTCAGTCATCAGTGTGGATGGCTGTCCGTGGGGTTTGCTGTCAAGGGCCATCTTGTTCCAGGATGGCCTGGACCTGAGGCCACTCAGGGGACGCTTGTCTGTTCTGAACGATGCTCCCTCCTCTGCCCACCTCCCACAGCGGGGAGCTCTGTTCAATACACAGTACTCTCTGTTTCTTATTTAACATAAAAAGAGTTTTAAGGGGAAAATGTCAGCTCTCTTCCCCATCTGCACTTCACCCACCCTCCGCTGCCTCTCATTTAGTGGTGAAAGGAAAGCTGAGTGAGCTCAAGGCGTCCTTGACAGTCAGTGGAAACGTAGACCTTTGTGCAGTTAATGCTATAAATGAGTCTCAGAAACGCTGAGTGTCGCCCTGAGCTCATTGGCCGCCTTGGAGACTGTCTCTGTTCACCCTTCGCTGCACTCAGACCGAGGTGTGGACAGTGCTCGAAGCTGCCCCCTCCTTAGGAACCAAGAGCAGGACGATAAGCACAGCGACACCGTGGAGCCCACTTCTGTGTCCAGGGCGGCCACGACCTCTTGTCGCCCTGCTGGGGAGCTCGGTCCAGCGTTCCCTCCCGCACTGTGGGGAGAACAAGGCCCACAGTGGATCAGGGTGAGGCCGAGGCTGGCATCCCTACAGACAGCTGTGGAGGCCGTTGCCCGGCCTCTTCCAACCAAGGGCAACTCCTGACCACTCAGGCTGCTGAGAGGATTGAGACACCTTTGTGGGATGCTTCTCTGCCATTCCAACTCCAGCTTTATTTCACGCCCACAATGTCCTGCCTCCTGGAGCTTCCATTCACCCAGAAGGGACAGAATCGATTGAAGCTGGAGAAAACACTTAATTAATCACGAGGGGGTCAGCTGAGCCTTGAAGGAAGCAAGCGATACTTAGAGGGGCTGAGAGAAGAGCAGGTGTTCCCCTACAGAGGGGGAGTGCTGGCTTGTCCCGGGCACTGCGTATGGAAGGCACCGATCACTAGGCAAGCCTGGAAAGGTGGGCATTGACCGGCTGTATTCATAGCAGCAGGAATACTCCGTGTCAGAGACTGTCCTCTGCAGGGAGACCCCGTGTGCTGATCCCAGCAGTGGAGAGCACAGCCGGAAAGGCACCTTGGACCCGTTCTAAAAGGGAGAGGGAGAAGCATCAAGGAGAGTCGGCTGATCGTCAGCCCGCTTCGGCCGAGCTGGCCCGAGGCCCCCAACTGGGAGACGAGTCAGTCTACCTGCAGTTTGGCTGAGAGACAGAGATAGAGAGACTGAGACAGACACTGAGAGAAAGGGAGAAGAGGAGAGGCATTATCACCTCGAGACTGTTCGGTTTAAGGGAAGAGAACCAGTCCCCCTGCCAAAGAATTGGGGAAATGTCTTTAAACTCCCAGGCTGCGTGGCTTCCCAGTCTTTCTCACCCATTCATCAGATACCCACTGTGTGTGTGGCTCTGTGCTTAGCCCTGCAGCGTGAGTTCCTGCCCTCGGGGGCCTGCTCTTTTGAGGGAATCAGCAATGGAAATTCTACCAGGATCAGTCCATAGCAGGCCCAGCACAGAGGACCAGGTTGGTGCCAGGAGCAAGGGAAGGAAGGCTTCTCAGAAGAAGCTATGCCTGGGCCAGGCTTGGAGGCAAAGGAATGATTTCCCTGGCCCTCAGAGGCCCAAGATAGGAGACTCTCACAGATGTAAAAGGGCCTTTAGCCAAAGGCGCAGAGAGCTGAGCCTCAGTCCTGACCAACGCGGGCTGAAGCGCCATGATGGGGCTGCCCTGAGGGGGCTGGGGTGGAGGGAGCTGTCCAAGGACTCGCATCTCCTGCGATGTGCTGGCAGTGTATGCAAGAGGGCCGTCAAGGCTACCTCTGAGCTGCTCCGAGGCCCGAGGGGCTGTGTCTAAATTCCCAAGGAGAGCCCCTGGAAGAGGGCCAAGCTGGACAGACAGACGTGGACGCCGTCTGCACGGGTAGACGGGATTGCCAAGGGCAGGGCCATGTTTTGACCCCGGAGGCTAACCTCCAACCTTCCTGCTGAAAGACCTGTTTGGGAAGATGGCAGGAACCAAGCTGCCTGCAGAGTTTGGGGCACCGGGCACCCTCCGCCAAGCCCGCCCAGGAAGCCAGTGTTCGGTCAGGGTGGTGTGCAAGCCCCCACTGAACCTTCTTCCAGCCTGCCTTCTCCCTTTCCTTTCCCATGGTGACTCCTGAAGGGTGTGCACGTCTGGACCCTCGGAGCTTTGGGAAGAGCTGCCTGAGACTTTCACCAAATTTGCTGCAAATCACCCTGCTTATATGAGGCCTGTCACCCACTCAGAGGAGCTAATCCTCTGGACAAAGGGGGAGGGCAGGCATCTCTCAAGCCCTGGGGCGATGTTCCTGATGGCACAGGCCTTCTGTAGGACTTCCCAGATTGTCCAGAACCGGAGCCTTCTCTGACCTTTACCTGACTGCTGATAAGCCAGGCTGAAATGCTTTGTGTGAATGGCCTCCTTCTCACTACCAGACATTGGAGATGGCCAGTGCCTGGCGTCAGGAGGACCTGAGTTCAAATGTGGCCTCAGACCCTTACTACCTATGTGACAAGTCACGTAGCCACTGTTCGCCTCAGTTTCCTCAGCTGTAAAATGGGGGTCGTAATAGCACCCACCCCCTCAGGATTTTTGTGAGTATCAAATGAGATCTTTTTTTTTTTCAAGGTTGGGAAATTCTGTTTCCAATGTTTTGTTTCTTTTTTTTTATTAATTTATTTTGATTTATCAACAATCACTTCCATATGCTTTTGAGTTTAAAATTTTTCTCCCCCTTCCTCCCCACCACCCTCCCCAAGATGGCACCCAATCTGATATAGGCTATATATATGAGATCATGTTTGTAAAGCCCTTAGCACATGTAAAGCCCTACTGTGTCTGGCACACAGTAGGCGCTTAATAAATGCTGTTCCGTCCCTTCCTATGCCTCTTGCGTAAATGTGTGAGAAGTACGTGATGCCAGAGGAGGTTTCCCTGGTGCCAGTGGGCGTGACGCCATCATTGAACTCATGACTGGATGTTCTCGGGGCATCGGTCATGACCACTTTTTAATCCACGTAAAGTCAAATTCTTTCAGTGGAAAACAGTGATGGTTGCGCCTCTGCAGGCCTACTGTGAGTCTTAGGTGGTAATTCATGTGGTTTCTGTGGATGCCTCCTGAGGCAGGAGGACTTTGGCCCCAGGCTCTGTCAACCCAAGGCTGCCCAGCACAGAGAAGGGCAGAGGAAGGGCTTCCTGCCTCCAGCCAGCTTGCAGATGGAGAAGCCCTCAGGACCGACCCTCCCGGCCTTGGGCGACCAGTGAGTCTGGAGGTCCCGAGGCGCTCTCTGTGGTCAGGATGCAATAGCCACTCACCAGCTCCTGAAGTTTCACGCTTTGGTGAAAGAAACACAGATTTTTATTGGCCTTTGGACTTTGATTCAGAGTTTGAGAGGGTCATTATTTACACCCACTTTCTCTCGGAGTCAGTGCAGTGTTTAAGCAGCTGGTGGCATTCGTGGTATTTTTAATGCCAGTTAAAAGCGTGATCATTCTGCCAGCAGCGCTTGTAATAATTACATTGAGCCTGGGGTTTGTGTGACCTAGAATGAGATATTCCGCTGACTTTTGTCTGTATTTTTAGAAGTGAGAATTAGGATTTTTCCCTCCTTTTCCTCTTCCTTATGGTGGCCCCTCTGACCTGGGGGCCTGTTATCCAGAGTTAGCTCTTTGCCTCTGGCCTGCCCCGTTGATCTCCAGCATTCTTGTGTGAAGGCACCATACAAACCTCAGTGGTGTCCACAGCGCATGGAGCCCTCTGTGCCTTGTCAGGTCAGTGAATGCCACACTGAGGCCCCGCTCTGCCAGCTGGGTGCCGTGGCACTGACCCAGAGCTCTGGAAGAGGAGGCGAGTCAGGGGCAAGTCTCACCTATGCTCCTCTGCTGGAAGAGTGTCCAGTGCTGGCCCATTTCTCATCCAAGGCCAGCCACACTCAGGTGCACCAGGCTCATCCCCAGCTGTGTACAGGGGCCTGGACGTCTTTCCCCAAGACCCTCGCTGGGTTCTTGCACTCTTGGTCCATTAGCAAGTTGGGCCAGGCTGTGGGCTGTGCAGGGTCCTGCCCTCAGGTAGCCAGCTGTGGAGTAGGGAGATAGGACCAACAAGTGAAATAATTAGTGAATAATTCAGTGCCACCTTGGGGTGATTGCTCACAGGGGCCACAGATGTTCAGAGACGGAGACACCACTCTGGGCTGTTCCCTCGGTGAAGAGTCAAGCCTCTGTTTCCTTATGGTAAAGTGAGGGGCGTGGTTGTTTAATGCAGAGATAGGGGAGGAGGGGATCCACGACCCCTCTAGGCCCAAAAGGTTCCTGGCAGCAAAGAACCTTTGTGTGGAATAAATACATCTAAGCATTGTGGGGAGAGTTCAGGCCAGCGA